GGGACTGGGGATGCAGCTGGGACTGGGGCTGCAGCTGGGACTGGGGATGCAGCTGGGGCTGGGGATGCAGCTGGGGCTGGGGCTGGGGATGCAGCTGGGGCTGCTCTGAGATTTTCATCCTTGGCAGGACCCTGGTCAACTCTGAGGAACAAAGAGTGTGAAGGAGAGGAGATCAGACGAGTCGGGGCTGCAGGTAAGAGGCCTCGGGTGGGATGTGCTTCGGTCAGGGAAGCTGAGGGAGAGAGGGGCTCAGGCATGAGTAGGGGGGGAGTGGCTGAGGGATGCGGGGAGGGGACACAACTGAGGCCGTCTGTGGCTGGCGTCCCTGTGTCCAGACAGCCAGCCACCTGTCCACTGCCCGGCTCCCCCTGGCCTCGCCCGGATCCTCTCCCTTTCCCGACACCGCGGGCCACTTGCTTTTCTGTCCTGCCTGAATCTGAGCGGAAGAAAGAGTGGTCTCCAGAGCCGTTCACCCCAGCCTTTCCCATAGTGCAGATCACTGTGGTCCCCTCTTGGGACAAGAGTGGGCGTCCCCACTGCTGCCCCTCTGGCCGTGATCCTACGAAGCCTGGGGTCTGCCTGAAGCTCTTGGTGACAAGGACCTCCCTCCTTGCCCAGGGCCAGCCTTCCACAGAGGCTGGGGAGCCCTGAGACTCCCCGGGAGCCCAGGGCCCACCTTCCCTGCTCTCACCAGGTTTGGTCCCTGAATCCAGAGCTAAAGCTTGGTCTGGCTGGGGGCTGCTTTTCCCACACCCCCTCTCTGAGCCATCTGTCAGACGTCCAGTCTGCACAGCGTCTGGTGGGGGAAGCTCATGGCGGTAACGGGGCCTCTGGGCACCTGCAGGGAAGGTGCTGGCTGCATCCACAGTGTCCCACACACTCACCACCGCACCCAGGCGCAGGGGGTCCAGCTTTGGGAGGCGCCGGGTTCTCTCTCCTGAGCTGTCATCCACCTGCCACCGCCGGCTGCCTGACCGCCTCCCCAGTGAGCCAGGTGGCCCCGCTCCGTGTTTCCAGGAGCCGGTGTCCTGTTCCACCATGTGGATCGGGGCCGGGTGAGCTGGCGCCTTGGCTGCGAGGCCTCCTGCCTCCGCCTGCACCTCCATGTCTCTGTCCCGGCTCGGAGGAGTGAAGTGTATCAGAAGCGGGGCAGGCGTCCCCCCTGCTTTGCTCCTACCCCTGAGGGCCGCACCCGGCCTGGGCGTCTGCTTTCCTGCACCTCGGGAGACTTCAGGGCTGGCATTGCCATGCTGCTGTCCCAAGGCCCCTCCACTGGCCGCCTCGCTGGGTGTCTTGGGTGGAGCTGCGGCCGTGGCAGTCAGATCTTCACTTCCGTGGGGCTGGTGGTCCTGGGCACTTGCTATAGCTGCACTCGCCTGGCTAGGTCCTGGAGGCTCTGGCTTCCCCTGCCCGGAGCTGTGTCCCTCGATGCCACCACTGACCTTGGACTTTGGGGTCAGGGCTGGCCCAGCTCCTCCCGCCTGAGAAGACTGGGCACTGGGGCCGGTGGATGCTGGTCCTGCTGCCTCCTGCTCCTGCCCAGAGCCAAACCAGTGCAGGGCCAGGGCCGTGGCAGCCACGACAGCCAGCGCCAACAGTGTGAGCACAGCACTGTCCCAGTCATCGTCCCCGTCCCCGTCCCAGCCCCAGCCGGGGCCACCAGGTTCTAAGGCGCCCTGGATCATGGTGCCGGGCCACCTGGGAGCAGGCTGGAAGCTGTGTGTGCCTCGCAAAGCCAGTCCTCCGCTCAGGCCTGTCCTCCTGAAGATGGCATCAGCGGTGTGCCCCGCCCAGTTAAGGTGGCCCTGGACTGGGAGGGGTGGCTCTCTGTGCCTGTACCTGGGCTTAGGGGCTTGTCAGCAGGACCCAGCTGGAGGTACCAGGAGACAATTAGCAACAGCTCCAGGGGCTTCTCCAGGCCCCCCACCCAGCTCCAGCCCCCATGTTCCAGAAGCTCCAATGGCAAGCAGCCTACCTCAATACGGTTCCAGCATCCCAGCCAGCCTGCTTCTGCCTCATAGACCCTCGTGCCCCCAAACCCAACCCACATCCCAGTGTCCCCCCTCTGAGCCTGGGTCCAGCCTCAGGGGGCTCTAGCAGGGAACAGTTACCCAGAGGGAGATGTTATCTGCAGTTTTAGCAACACGATGCAGCCCTGATAAAATTACCAGAAACTCGAGACGATTCCACTGTGGGCCAGTGGGGGATGGGTGGTGGTAGGGCCATAGCCTTGGTGCCAAGCCACAGGCTGGTCTCAGACTAAGGAGGGAGGGTGTGGGTCCAGCACAGAGAAGGCTAAGCCTGCTCCAGAGGGGCAGCCTCCGACCTCTGCACTTCAAGGTGCGCAGAGGGCGCTGGCACTGTTCTCTCCCAGGAAACTTTGGGGCTCAGGAGGAGGCCCCTCACCCTCTCCTCTACCAGCCTCGGGACTTTCTCTTGCCTGAGCTCAGCAGACACTGAATAGTTTTCAAAAGCAATTTTCTAAGTTGTCAAGAGAAAAAAAGTGATTTAAATAAAGAAAACCCAGAAGTTTATATTTCCCTTTATTTGGCCGGAATGATGACAGCCCACCCAGCCCTTCTAGAGCCCCCTGGGCCTCCAGTGCCTTGACTGCCCAAGTGCTGCTCTCGCCAGGCCCTGGAGCACCGAGTCCAGGCTGATGCCACTCCTGTTACCTACTGTCATCACCCAGCCCCGAGATCCCCCAGAAACCTTCCTCCCGCCCTGGGTGCTCCATCAGCCTGACTCCTGGGTGTCCTGTCTCAATCCAACCTTCCCTTGTCCTGGCTGAATCACTCCACCCTCCCCCGCCTTCAGCACTGGGACTCTGGCCCCCCCAGGCCGGCAGGCAGAGGCTCCCGTTTTTTTGAGCTTTGCCTCCTCCATCTGCATCTCACTTAAGCTGATCTCAGGTGTAAATCTTAAGACAGTGCCAGGTGGGGCCCAGACATAAAAAAGGGACTGAAGTCCCTGGTATAGAGCAGGGCCCCCCACAACGTGTTTTTGTTCCTTCTTCTGGGACAGGGACTTCTCCCTGGCATCAAAGAGGTGGCCAAGATGCGTCCCTGGCACCCAGCCTGGGCTCCGCTGAGCCTCAGGTATCTCACCCATCAGGTAGCCTCACAGCTCCCCGAGCATATTAGATGTCAGCAAGAGGGTGGGGGGTGGGCCCAGGCCTTAAGGTGGCCCTCAGGTGGGGGCAGCCCCCCTGGACACGGCCCTTATTTTCTGTCCTGTTTCTGCCTCTTGGTTCAGTTTGGGATCCAAAGACCTTGAGAGGATGTAGATGACATCCTTACATGCACCCCATCAGGCACCTCCACCCAGCTTCTTAAGACGCCTGTCGCAGGTCTGAGCTGCAGGCTGCTGCAGAGAACAGGAGAGGTGTCCACCAAGTGATCCCTTCAGACGCCGAGGCGGGGAGGAACTGAGCACAGGAAATCATCATACCAACTTCCCAAGGTGCTGAGGACCACGATGGGCCCTGGAGACACAGCAGTGACCAAGGAAGGGTCTGGTCCCATTCTCTGTGGAAAGAAAACACCTCCCTTTGTCCAATCCAGATCGAGGGCAAAACTCGGCCCTTTGTGGAGAAACTATTGGGAGGGTGGGGACATGTTCCCTCCCTAATTTCCCAGAGAGAGTGAGACTGCACTGCTGGGAGGAGACAAGTTCAGAAGCACATGTGATCACTCCACAAACCGTGAAACCTAACAGTTATTCTAGTTGTGCTATGACAGCATAGATGTCACGAATTACCATCAAGGTGAAAATGAAAATCAAAATGGGTCCCTGGAAGGTCCCTTAGGCCAAGAGGTCCTTTTTTCAGCTGCTGTCCCAGTCAATACAAGGAATAAAGAGGGAATCGGGCCTA